TATCTGGACACGTTTCCATTACTCTCTGCATTGTATGTCATATAAAGTGAACAACATGGCGGTAACGATCGCTTCAAGTACTAGTAAGGGACTTTCTAGGAGATACACTCTACAATTTTGGTGATTCTTCAGAAATCGATAACAGAATATATAATACTAGTCGGTGAAGATTGTGGAAAATTGTTGATACCGTGGCGCGCGCGCGTGCGCCGACGATACACATTACGTACCGTTGTTTACAGTACTCGCGGGGCGCAGGTCATTGACCTCCCGCTTGCGTTGTTCCAACAGAGAAGAGCAAAATATCTGCCAGTTTTTGCGTCAGATTTTCAGTGTTTGTTAAAATCATATACAGGCATCCATGCAGCTATAATTCTTCCAACTAGTTCGTAGTTAGGTGAAATGTTTGTAGGAATCACACGAATCGGTATCCAGTATCAGAGTATCATGGCCCACGGCCGAGACCGCGTGGACCAGCTGCGCTGGTACGTGAAAATGGTAGTAAATAAATTAATTAGCCAACAGCCAATCAACAGCCACATCTGCAAACATGACCACACCTGCTTGTATGCCCATATTTGGGCCTTCCCCCGAATTCCTTTCTTATTACGTCACGCGCGTACGCCCCCACAGTACTTTCCTAAACCACTAAAAAGCAAATAAAACGATTGTAAAAGCTTGTATCAAAAAAATAAAAAAAACGCCTAAGGGTATTTACCCACTCTACCTCTATACGTAATTACAGGTAATTTCGCCCAAAAATGAAGGAGTTGAATCAATTTAAAGAAGTGGCAGGAGAAGGAGAAGAAGGAGGAGAAGAAACATCAGAAAAAGCAATATGGGTTCACCACCACTTCGTGGTGTGGTGAACCCATAATAAACATTATAACTACCATTAAGGATATCTGATCCAGCCGTTGTCAACATCGGTGTTCCCCAAGGATCTATCCTGGGACCACTCCTGTTTAATCTGTTTATCAATGACTTGACAGCAGCTGTATCAGATAGTAAAATTTCACTTTATGCTGATGACACTGCCTTATTTAGTGCAAGTACGGATCCTAAATACATCGAGGAGAGTCTCAACTCAGAACTTGACAGGATAGCAATCTGGTTCAAGGCTAACCGGCTTACCATTAATGCCAGTAAGTCCAAATGGATGTTAATGGGAACACCTGTAAGAACAAGGTCAGCCCCTGAACTAGTTATTAGTATTGGGGGCAATGTGCTGGAAAAGGTTGAATACTACAAATATCTTGGTGTAGTACTAGACTCAAGCCTAAGTTACAATGACCACATTCAGACTACCTGTAACAAAGTGGCCCAACGTCTCGGCCTGCTGAGACGTTTACGGCCGTACTTAACCACTGATATTACATGTCTGTTGTATAAAACTCTAGTTCTACCCATTCTTGAATATTGTGATGTGGTTTGGGATAGTTGCAATGCTACCTCCAAACAGCAACTTTAACTCCTCCAGAACAGGGCTGCCAGGATAATCCTGAGAAGGGAACTGCGCTCGAGTGTAAGCGAACTACACCAGACACTGGGTTGGAAACCACTAGAGGAAAGGAGGACCCACCATACCTGCACAATGGTATACAAGTGTCTACATGGACTTGAACCTGATTACCTGCTACACTGTTCTTCAGCTACAACCACCAAACACATCAGTACAACACAAGACAAGCGAATCTACTGCGTAAACCCAAATACACAAACAGAACTGGACAGAGAACATTTAAGTACAGAGCAGCTTCAGCCTATAACTCGCTTAACACGGTAACTAAACATGCATCAACAATAAATGCTTTTAAAGTAGCGCTAAGAACATACGACCTCTGACCCTGACCTCACGGACAACCGACTGTCATTATTTGACAATACGACTATGCCTAACGATTTTGACTATTTGTTTTGGTTGTTCCGTTGTGTTTGTATGATTGATTATTTGTACCCTCTGTTTATATTATTTATTATCATTTGCTACGTTTGATCAATTGATTAATCTGTATTATTTTGTTTAATTTTTATTGCATTCCATGTTGTCCAATGTGTATGTTCCGTTGGGTTACCTTGGAAATCAGTCTTTCAGAGACTGAAGGTACCACCCAACTGTTTTTTAAGATCAATCAATAAATAAATAAATATCAATGTTGGAACACTGTTATCTGGATGTCCAAAGAACCAACAGAAATCAAGTGCAACTAATCATACAATAGCTATAGCAATGTACGCTATATTTAGAAGCTGGTCCACTTATAAGGACAAAGGTTGTTATAATGAAATCGATCCATTCTCTGTTTTTCTAACTGACTTTACTTCCATCTTAAGAACAGAACAAAATATATCAATTGAACGACAAAAAAAAATGAGGAGATCTTCTGTGTTTTATAGATTAGGCCACAGCAAGTAACTTTTATGGATGACATCCTCTGCAGACTCCAAATCTAATGCGAGCGGGCGAATAAAAAACAAGGACGGGACCAAAAAACAAGGTTACCTACATTATAAAATTTTGACTCAATCATTGTACGAATGGCTTTTATTCGGTGGGAACATCACATGTACACAGCCATCACCACATATCATTGCATCAAAGTAAGAAACAAAACATTAAATCAGAGCATTTTCTTGTCTCCTCTCTTCATAGTTATCTGCCATCCACCTTCCGGCATGGCAACATCTTTGCCCATTTTCGGCATGTTGACCACTGTCAGAGGGCAACAAAATTTCTTGTTTTTTTTTTCAAAATCAGGTGAAAATTAATGCGCGCGTGATGTCATCCATAAAAATTACTTTCTGTGGCCTTATGATTATTATACTGTAAATTCTGTAAATTTTATGTAAATTTTTCTTTAAATAAAGACCACGACACTTGGGATCGTGGAAAGGAAGAAAAAAATTATCCACGGCGGTCAATTTCTAGGGTAAAGTTTCCAATTCTACGGAGGGGGATCAGGTTACCGGGGTTCCACGCGCGGCTTCCGTGGAGTCAGTCTCAACGGTAAACATTCTTTTCATCAGTTATAAACAGTTTCACGGGGACTCTCTTGTTCAAATGTGATAAAATCCGCACTGCATATAGCTCAAATGTTGGTGTTTTTATTACAATGCTTAAATGTGCGTGAAATCACTCTCGACGTGTCGAGTGCTTATTCTAGAACAATCGACGTCAATAACCAAACAACTGATTTAAACCGACCCCAAATCTCTCAGAAAATTCCATATTTTTGCATTTTAGAGAACAGTATAACAGAATTAAGATTTGAGTCGGACAGTTTTCTTCATTTCAAAGTTAAAGTGTTAGTAAGATAGAAAAATTCGCCAAAAAATGCACTTTTTCAACTTTCAAGACGGATAATTCCAGAACGCCGCCATCTTTAAAAAATCCGTCCGACACGGATCGAGATTTTTGTCTTACCTACAATTTAAAACGTTTCTGAGGTAAATTGAATTTGTTTTTGTTGCGGTTTAAATACCATGTTTGCACGCATGTCAGGCCGTGTGAGTAAGTACAGGGGGTAACTTATATCCCCGTAAACAACAATTACGATCTTCAAGGTCACACACGATAACGGCAGTAGCTTCGTTACATGTTACATATCCACTATAAAACAGGGCATAGATATACGGTACCGAAATTGGTTTATATT